TGTTTCTAGGGCATCTCGGGTCTACCAATGGAAGACAGAGTTATTATATAGAATTATAATAATTTAAGAGTAAATAGGTACTTAATCGAAAAGTGAAAAAAAGCGGGGAAGCGGGGGGAGGGAGACCAGGCAAAAAGGTGTAGATGGTAGAAGCTTCATTCATCCCCTCTTGCAACCACATCAAAATTGCGACATAAACGGAGCAAATAGCAAGCAAAGTCTTCTGGGGTCTAGATGGATGGAAGCCCTACAACTATGGAGAGAAATAAGAAATAAGCAATCATGCTGCAACAGTTGGAGGTAGGAGGGGGCAAAGATGTGAGACAGCCCGGTCCAGCTTTGGCAGCCACAGCTGGCAGCTGCAGACGCCTCTTAAAAAGGCCATGTCCACAAGTGGACTTTTGCAGTGATGGACTCACTCTCTCTGAGCACCAGTGCTGGGTCAGCTGCTTGGAGGGCACCAGGGACTTATATGGGGACACTGAGTTGTCAGAGCAAGGACTGGAGGCAAAGCTTTCTCCCAGGCAGAAGGGCTGGCAGTATCTACTGTTCCTCTGTTGAGTCCTCGCCGCTCCCAGAGTGCAGACACAGCACGACCATAACTGAGCCATCATCAAACTGGATGACAGAGGTTGCTCCACCCAGAGAATTCTCTGAAACTCCGTCTTCCCCAACTTATAGCCCTACTCAAGCCACATCCAGGTGTGTCCTCAGTGAGTCCTGTGCCCCTTGCTGAGCAGTTACAAGACCCACAGTAATGGAAGCTGGCCTCAGTTTCTGTTGTGGTCTCTTGAGGCAACTATAAGCACAGCATGCGTGGATTGCCTGCTGAATCTTAACTGGTGGCCCTGGAGGGGCACAGGCTGGGATTAAACTTGGTCTTCAGCTGAACCCCTCTCAGGATTGTGCCACCGGACACGCCTACTACACAAAGTCACACTAATCAGACTGGGAGACTTAGGAGCTTTTCTTAGTACGTAGAAACAGACATAGAAAGAAGCAGATCCCATATGAAAGAACAGAACAGAGCTCTAGGAAAAATGTAGTCAAGCAATCTAACAGATGCAGAGTTCAAAACACTGGTTATAAAGATGCTCAATGAACTTAGGGAAGTGTAGATGACCTCAGTGAGAACTTTAACAAAGAGATAAAGAAACAAAAATGGAAATGGAAATTATAAAAGGGGGCCAGTAAGAGTACATTATGTGCGATGAAGAATATATTAGAGGGAATCAACAGAGTGGATGAAATGGAGGATTGAATTACTAAAATAGAGGATGGGGAAGCTGAGGACACTCAATCAGAATGGCAAGAAAAAAGAATCCAAGAATATGATAATAATTTAAAGAGCCTATAGGACAAAATTAAATGTAACAATATCTGTCATAGTGATACCTAAAGGAGAAGAGAGAGAACCAGAAGTTAAAAACCTATTAGAAGAAATAATGATGGAAAACTTTTCTAACTTGGTGAAGGAAATAGACATACAACCCCAGGAAGCTCAGAGAGTCCCAAACAAGATGAACGCAAAGAGGCCCACACCAAGACACATCATAGATAAAAAGCCAAAGTTTAAATACAAAGAGAGACTCTTAAAAGCAGCAAGAGAAAAGCAATTAGTTACCTACAAGGGAGCACCCGTAAGACTGGCATCGTATTTCTCAAAAGAAACTTTGCAGGACAGAAGAGTTTGGCACAAAATATTCAAAGTGATGAAAACTCAAGATCTACAACCAAGAATACTTTATCCAGCAAAGCATTATTTAGAGTCAAAGGACAGATAAAGAGCTTCCCAGATAACAATAAGCTAAAGGAATTTATCAACATGAAGCCAGTATTACAGGAAATGTTGGTGGGACTTTTTAAAAAGAAAAAACATGAAGAAAGAATGGTAATAACTACATATCTATCAATAAGTACCTCAAATGGAAAAGAATTAAGTGCTCTAACCAAAAGATAGGGAGGCTGAATGATAAGAAAAAAAAATACCCCTACATATGTTGCCTACAAGAGACTCACTTCAGATTAAAAGACACACACACAGACTAAAAGGAAGGGGATGGAAAAAGATATTGTCTTGATGGACCTAGAGGGTATTGCGCTGAATGAAATAAGTCAGATAAAGACAAATATCACATGATTTCATGTACACATGGAATCTAAAGAAGAAAATGACAACAACATCAAAAACAGACACAATCTCAGATGCAGCGACTATTTTGAGGGCTACTAGACAGGAGGAGAGTTTGGGGGATGGTAAAAAAGGGCAAAGAGATTAAGAAGTACAAATGGAGTGTTACAAAATAGTCATGGAGATATAAAGTGTAGCATAAGGAAAATAGTCAACAATGTTATAAAAATGTATAAGGGGGAAAAAAGGTACTAGATTTAGTGGGGTGACCACTTCTTGAGTTATATAGATCTCTAATCACTATGCTGTACAACTGAAACTAACATATTATTGTATGCCGACTATAATTTAAAAAAAAAACTCATTGAATTGTCCAATGTAAATACAAGCAACTAATTGTCTATTATATTTCAGTAAAACTAGGGGGAGAAGTGCACAGAAAAACTGTAGAAATATATCAAAAAGAATGGAGTAAAAAAAATGGAATAAGTGAAGATAAAATAAAAACTTTTATTTTTCTTGTTTTTAATTGATCTGACAAATAAGTTTGTTCAAAATAGTAACACTCTATTCTAGTATGTATACTCAGGTATATATTATATACATATGCTTATGTATGTTTATAGATAAGTGCAAGGGAAAGGAGGAAAAATTGGGATTATTTTGTTATTATAAGATACTTACACTACTCTGAAGTGGTATGGTGTTATTCGAAAGTGAACTTGGATTCACTGTAAATGTATATTTTAAACTCTAGAGAAACCCTAAAAAGTAAGCATTACTGATATGCTAAGAAAGGAGAGTAAGTCATATGAAATGCTCAGTTAAAACCACAAAAGGCAGAAAAAGAGTGGAAGGCAAAAATAGGAACAAACAACAAGGGCAACAAATAGAAAACAATAATGAATATGGTAAATATTCATCCAACTATTTCAATAATCACTTAATGATCTAAATGCACCAATTAAAAGACAGATTGTTAGAGTAGATCAAAAAACATGACTCAACTATATGAA